CCTACCGCACTACGTCCCTCCCCCCACCCCCCCTCTTCTTGGTACCAGGTCCCCCCCCAGTAGTCCCCCTCCCCCCTCAGGGTCCTGCCCCTTCAGGTGTGTCTCAGGTAGACGCGGTCGAGCCTGTCGAGGTCACTGGTGACTCCGGTGCTGCTGCGGGAGCTGAGCCTGGGGGTGCGGAGTCTAGGGGTGCTGAGCCTGGGGGTGCCGAGCCTGGGGGTGCGGAGTCTGGGGGTGCTGGGCCTGGGGGTGCTGAGCCTGGGGGTGCTGAGCCTGGGGGTGCTGTGCCTGGGGGTGCTGTGTCTGGGGGTACTGAGCCTGGGGGTGCTGAGCCGGGAGGTGCCGAGCCTGGAGGTGCTGTGCCTGGGGGTGCTTCGTCTCACCGGGAGCCGCTCTCTCCACAGGAGCTGCGTGAGTGGTTTGCCCGGCGCTGGAGGCGTGCCGCTGGTGCTGGTGGTTCTTCGGCTTCGGAGGGCGCTGCTGCCACGCGACCTGGCGGTGCTCGTCCTGTGGGTGCTGGAGCTGCTGGGTCTGAGTGTTCTCCTGGAGCTGGTCCTACTGAGGACGTTGGCGCTGAGCCTGCGGTTGGTGGTCCGACTGACGGTGCACCTGGTGCTGCTGCTGGAGGTTCTGGAGCTTCTGGTGGTTCTGCTGGAGGTGCTGCTGGAGTGGGTGCTCCTGCCGGGGGTGCTGGTGCTGTTCCTGCTGTTTCTGGCGTCGCCGCGCGGCCTCGACCGTACTTCGTTCCGCTCCTGCAGCAGGTTCTTGGTCTTACACCTCCTCCTCCTCCCTTAGAGGGTCCGCAGCCTGTCCGGTCACAGCCACAGCTACAGCCTGCCTCCCCTTTGCCTGCTCCTTCTCCCTACGCTGGTCCGACTGGAGGTCTTACTGAGCGTCGTGAGCCTGCGTCTCGTCCTGCGTCGCCTGTTCGTACTGAGCGCGCTAGTGGTCGCGGGTCGCGTCAGCGTCCTCCTCCTGTCCCTGGCACGCACCGGATGTCACTGCGTCCGTCCACTGCTCCTCTGCGTGCCCCTTTGCCTTCTCCTCCTGCTTCCTCTCTTCCTGCTCTTGCCGACCCGGAGTCGGACTCTCTTCGTGCTGCCAGTCCTACTGTCACGCGTCTCCTTGCTACTGCTGTCACTGACCCTTCCTTCGAGTCGTCTGCTGCGTCTGCCCTTGTCACTGAGCTTGTCGACTTTGCTGCGCGCTGTCGTCTAGACTACGCTGCTCGTCTCGTCGCTGAGTCTGAGTCCGCCTGTCCTCCGTCCGTCGGGGGTGAGTGTGCCCTTGGCACGGACGTCCTAGAGGACAGGCAGGAGGAGTTCCAGTGTCTAGCCGCTGCTTCACCTCGTCTCGCGTCTGTACTGCTAGCCCCTGAGGGAGACCCGGATGCACTAGACATCCCGACTCCGCGTTCTTACGCGGAGGCCGTAGAGGGTCCCTACCCCTCTCAGTGGCAGGCAGCTATGGATGCAGAGATGGCTTCCTGGAAGTCCACAGGCACCTACGTTGACGCGGTTCCCCCTCCTGGGGCGAACATCGTCAGTGGCATGTGGATCTTCAGGGTGAAGCGGCCGCCGGGCTCGCCGCCTGTCTTCAAGGCGCGTTACGTGGCTCGTGGCTTCAGTCAGCGGCAGGGAGTTGACTACTTTCAGACCTTCTCTCCCACCCCGAAGATGACCACTCTTCGGGTGCTGCTGCACATTGCCGCTCAGCGCGACTACGAGCTTCACTCTCTCGACTTCAGCACTGCGTTCCTGCAGGGTAGCCTGCACGAGGAGATCTGGCTGCGCCGTCCGCCTGGCTTCACTGGGACTTTCCCTCCTGGCACCCAGTGGAGCCTCCGACGGCCAGTCTACGGTCTCCGCCAGGCACCGCGTGAGTGGCACGACACACTGAGGACTACGCTTGCGGCTCTTGGGTTTGCTCCTTCTACTGCTGACCCGTCGCTGTTTCTTCGCACCGACACTTCCCTGCCGCCGTTCTACATCCTCGTGTACGTCGACGACTTGGTCTTTGCCACAGCGGACACTGCTGGACTCGCCTACGTGAAGTCCGAGCTGCTGAAGAGACACACGTGCACAGACCTGGGTGAACTGCGCAGCTACCTTGGCTTGCAGATCACTCGGGACAGAGCACGCCGCACCATTACCCTGACTCAGTCACACATGGTGCAGCAGGTCCTTCAGCGCTTCGGCTTCACGTACTCCTCGCCTCAGGCCACTCCTCTGCCTACTCGCCACTCACTCTCAGCTCTGCCTTCGGATGAGTCCGTAGAGTCGAGTGGTCCGTATGCAGAGCTTGTTGGCTGCCTCATGTACCTGATGACCTGCACTCGACCTGACCTTGCATACCCTCTGAGCATCCTTGCACGCTATGTTGCTCCTGGGAGACACCGACCAGAGCACATGGCTGCAGCGAAGAGGGTATTGCGCTACCTGTGCAGTACGTCGGGCATGGGGCTAGTGCTTGGAGGGCGGAGTCCAGTGGTCCTTACTGGGCACGCAGACGCTTCTTGGGCTGACGACCAGGCTACTCAGCGGTCGTCACAGGGTTACACCTTCAGCCTTGGTTCCGGCTCTGTCTCGTGGCGGTCTACTCGCTCGTCTTCGGTTCTCGGCTCCAGTTGTGAGGCTGAGATCTACGCCGGGGCCATGGCTGCACAGGAGCTTCGCTGGCTCACCTACCTGCTGACTGACCTTGGAGAGCTGCCTCGTTCTCCTCCAGTGCTGTACGTAGACAACAAGGCCATGTTGGCCTTGTGTCGAGAGCAGCGCTTGGAGCACAGAACGAAGCACATTGCTCTCCGCTACTTCCTTGCTCGTGAGCTGCAGCAGCGTGGTCAGTTGCGACTTGCTTACGTGGCCTCTGAGGCCAACACTGCTGATGTGTTCACCAAGGCACTTGCGCCTTGCGACCATCAGCGCTTTTGTACCCAGCTGGGTCTTGTACCTGTCTTGCCTCACTTGCTGTCTTCTTGACTTTACTTGTACTTTGACATATATATACCTGCTCTTGCTTGTCTAGTTTTATATATATGTCTTTACTCCTGCATGTGAACTGGCCTCTGGCCTTGCCCTTGTGCTCGGACTGTGTGGTGACTTTGTGATCCACCCTGAGCTTGTTTTGCTTTGCTTGACTGGTCTTGTGACCCCTTGTTCTCCCCCACTTTGCCTATGGGGGTGTGTCAGATTATCATAGCTGATGCATGTTTGTAGGCTATAGTGGGGTAGCACATATGGGGTACAGTTTGCTAGGGTTGTATTTGTACCCAACTCTGACTTAGTCAATTCATTCCTCTGCTCATAGTTTCACAGTGATGTGGAGGGTGCGGGTTGAATCGGAGTGCCAGGTGCTTGAGATTGTGCTCTCATGAGGTCATTTTGCAGTGATGAGCGTTCTGCCGTTAATGCCGCGATTTCCTCGGAGCTTTCGTGCAGTTGTCGCAGCAGCTCGTTCAAACGCTCCTGCGTGAGAGTGGTGACGTCGATATTTTCGGCCATGGCGAAGGGCGTCGGCTCGTCTTAGTCTAGGCGCAGTCGTGGCTGCACGCGTTTACGTGAGAACGCGAGGACAGCGGCTCCTAGGGGCTAAGGTGCGTGAGTCCCTTCGAGTGAAAAATCAAAAGTTGATTTCCTGGTGTGCGGAGGTGCGCGGTCCGAAAAGAAAGGGGCTATGATAACCAAGTGTTACGGGTGCAATGAATCGAGGTAGCGAGAATTGCACTAAGGTGTCAAACGAGTACAAAATGTGAGCGAAGGCATGAGCGAACATTTATACGCGAAACATGCAAAACGGTAACGCGGTGCGTGCGAGCTGGCTAGTGCTACGCTGGAGCGAGGCTCGGGCTAGTCCCGAAGCGTAGGCCGATGCGGCCATGCCAGCAGTGCGAGGTTTGGCAAAACAGTGCGCGCGAAGTCGGCGAAGTTCCGTTAGCAGTAACGGGCGAACAATCGGCTGTTGCTGTACGCGATGTAGTCGGCTCCGTAAGGAATGCCGAGAAAATTCCTTACACCCAGAAAAGAAGCAGACTAACGTTTCCACATTGTGGAGCACCATATCCCTCAGTCCTGGCAGTCGATTACCCACGTTGACTCTCGTTCAGGCTCCAGCTGACATACCTGTCAATTTTTTTCCGACATGGACGCACTGTTCGCGGCGTATGCGAGCGACGAAGATGAGGAGCTTGATTTGGGCCTGAAAGAACAAGAAGACGGAACTCTTGGAAAGGCTAGAAGTGACGAGGTAGAAGATGCAGATAGATGGGAAGGGGAGAAGGCGAACACCATGCATGATGGGAAGGGGTACGCCGCATGTAAGAAGAGACGGATTTGCCCGGGAGACGCGAGGATTGGTGGAGCGCGAGGAGAGGAAGTGGGGAAAGAAGAAGGGAGGAGAGACGTCGAAGATAGGAGAGGAGGCGAACACACAATTGCAGAGCGGAGCGAAAATGACTGTCTTTCTGGAACCAGCAGGCGTGATTGCGCCGATGACAGACGGAATCCGTCAGCGGTGATGAGCGACAGCTTGTCAGACAGGATGGATGACGGAAGGAATACGTCAGCTGAGGTCGGCGGCAAACAGAGAAAGGATGCGACAGGCAGACGGACAACGTCAAGGGATCAGATTCGAAGAGTTTCATTATTATCATCAGCAGCTGCAGCAGCAGCAGCAGCAGCAGCAGCAGGGGGAGCAGCAGGAACAGCAGCTGCTGCATCAGTGTTGCTTCCACCTCCTCCAGATGACCTTTTTGCTGATCCTAAAGGTTGGGCTAATTCACAAGGCTGGGTTGATCTTTGTCGTTCATGCTCGCCTATACTAAGTTAAATGTGTTGTCTGAGAGTGCCAGCATGCCGCTCTAATCACAGGTCTGGACTTGGTTCCCCTACAGTCCCTCTTTTCCCCACAAATCTCCTTCCCCCCGTTCCCCCCCCTTCCCTCCCTCCCGCTTTTCCCAATCTTCTTCTTCCCTTCCTCATCGCCTTCATTGTATTTTCCACATGCGCATATTCTGTGTAGGTGAGGTGGCGAAAGCAAAGGTAAAAGCGGATTACGGAGGGAGAGTGCGAACATTCCCCCATGTTGAGGGCAACTTCGCCGTTCATGTCTTCATTCCAGGTGAGTGCGAGCGAGCTGGCTCGTGACCATTCGTCTGTCAGAACCATACGGTTGAAGCAATTCCGTGATTCGTTTCACTTCTCAAACAACATCTCCACCCACTCTCCTCCGCTCCTCAGACACGCACTCTCTTTATTCTATCCACAGACTTCCCCACTTCAATCACTCTTCAAATCAGACCCACCCTTCGCAACCAGACCCCTCCCATTTACCTACTCTCAGACTTCCCCATCCTTCCCATATCCCCCATGCCACACCCCCCTGCAGTTACCATCCCTGCCTCTCTCCAGCCGCTCCTCCAATCGCACCTCCGCACTGCCATCAGCGCCCTCCCTGCACTGGCGCCTGTGGATCCGGACTCACTCAAAGCTGCTGTTGCTGGTGTTGGTGGTGGTGCTGCTACTGCTGCTTGTGGTTTTGGTGCTACTGTTACTGGTGCTGGTGCTGGTGCTACTACTGCGACTGCAATGCATGCCCTGGTTACAGGGGAGGTTCACATGACAGCTGCTCGCACTGTCCCCATCCGCTTCCATCAGATCGACTCCCTTCTCAGCCTGCTGCGCTTGCGACTCAAGCCACAAAAACGGTAAGGTAGGAAGGTGATTAGTATGATGTTTATCCTGCTGCTGTTGTTCTCTCTCTCCCTGCCTCCCTTCCTTCCTCCCTCCCTCTCTCTTCTTCTCACTCTTTCTACTCTCGTCTCAGCCATTGGACAAGTGGACAGCGTTTACTACCAACAAGACGACTCAATCATTGCCCTTCCCCCTCTCTTCTCGTTCCTGTCACTTTCCCCTTCCACGCCACCAGCTTCCACTTGCATCTGGACAAGTGGACAGCGTCTGTCAACGATGAAAAGGCTCGCTGCTTTTCTCTTTCCATCACTTCTCATTTTGTTTGAGATTAGTTTTGAGAATTCTCAAACACCCCCCCCCCCCCCCCCCCCTTCCACGGCACCAGCTTCCACAAACAAACTAATCTCAAACAAAATGCTTTTCTCTCTTTCCATCACTTCTCACTCACTCCCCCCCCCACCCCCCCCCCCCCCCCCCCCCTTCCACGCCACCAGCTTCCACTTGCATTTGGACAAGTGGACGGCATTCGTTAACGATGAGAAGACTCGCTCCTTCCTCGCTCTTGAAGCTTCCCGGGAGGGACTGCCTGAGGTAACCTTGCGATCATTGTTATGTGGGCTTAGTATCCATTTGTTAACAATGAGAAGACTCGCTCCTTTCTCGCCCTTGAAGCTGCCCGGGAGGGACTGCCTGATGTGTGGTGTGATTGGAACTCCTCTTTCGGCCCTGACCCTTCTTCAGTTCTGATTTTGTAGCTCTTGTGATTCAGACCCCTTGTTTTTCCTCTGATGCTCAGCACTCCTCGTTCTCCCACTACACCGCTCTGTTTGCAACCTCCCCTCGTCCCTTGCTCACCACTGACCCACGTGCTCCATGCGAGCTTGCCTTTTACAGTACCTCACAACTTTAATACCCAACCTTCTTCGGTTTTCTGATAAAGAAATTTCCATATCTCCAGTGGATTTCTACATTCCTCTCTCCGCTCCTACACCACTTTCCTGTCTGCCCGCCCCCAGTTCGCCTCTCTGGTTCAATGCATCGACCAGGCATATGCTGTTCACGGTCTTCCTCCGTACTATGATGTATGTTATCCACCCTTGTAATTCTTCTTGTGCCTCCGTATTTTGAAGTATACCACATGAATTTTCCTTTGCCTACCGCTTCTCCTTCTCATATCCCCTTATCCGCCAACCCACATCCCTCCCTGTACCTACCTCGTTCTCCTAAGCTGCCCACATGCTCTGCATACCTATCAAAATCCTTTTGCTCTTACTCACACTCGTGGACGTACCATCTCTGTGTGTCCCTATGTGAATTTCAGAACCCACGCCCACACGTCTCCCTGCTCTGGGTAGCTGGTAACCACCTCGACCCGTTACTCTCCATCGGACATAGCTTACAAATGTTGTGTGGTGGTCTTCCTCTTTGCATCCGAGTGAATGTGGGCAAGGTTGTTTGTAGAGTGGGGCAAAAAGTGCACACAGTGTGGGAGGACAATCGTAGAGCAATGTTGTAGAGAACTGAACAAAAAGTGTATTTCACCACCTAATACAGCTGTATTATACTTATACGATACAAAGCATCTGATTGACTTGTTTAAGCGATTCTTGTGCATTATCGGAGAATCTTCTAACACGTTACTTTCCTTTCACAGGATACACCTCCTTTCATCAGCACCACAAAAATCTCTCTTCCGCACCGCGGTTTTGTCCGCCGATCGCGTTCGACGTCCTGATCCCATGTGGCGCCCTCTCATTCGCGCCGCCGGGCTTCGCTCTACCGCGGCGCGAGCCGACGGCAGTGTCAACGACGGCCGACTAGCTTCCCTCGCCGGCAGTTTCCTCCTCCCGGACGTCAAGAAACTAACGGACAGCCGTCAATGTTGTTATGATAGGGGAGAGATCGCAGGACGAGCTTTAGTTGAGGAAAGATCGCCGGAATATCAAAAGACTCTAGGTCGGGCTTTAAAGCCATTCGGCGATTCGCTTCCAGTGACCTCCTATACCCCCTTCGAATCGCGATCGATCAGACCTCAGATTTGTCGTGCTTCGGAGGTTTTAGGATCCTCGCAGGGACGCGTGGAAATTGCGGATTGGTCGCGGCAGTTCAGTACAGATGCACGCAAGGCGAGCGCGAAGGCCGGCGGAGCGGGGAAGGAGGCGGAGAATGCAGGAGATACGGGGGAGGTGGGGGAAGGTGACGTCATATTGACGTCAGTTCACCCTAAAGATCTCTTGGACCTGAACGAAAACACCCTGTTCGAGCTTAGGTACGCCTAGGGGAGGTTCGGTACTGTTGGGTGAGGTTCGGTACTGTTAGGTAAGGTTGAGTAAAATCAGGTAAGTTCAGGTATGTTTTTGGCATCAGTCGCACAACCTCCACACCCTCACACTTACTCTCTTTAGAGTGATATGCATCTGCACTGCACTGCTGTAATATTCACCCAGTCGCCTTCCTCCTTCATCCCCACTCACACAAACTCTACTGTGAGGAGCATTTGCATCAGTACTTACCCAAGGGCCTTCCCTCGCACTCCCCCTCACTCACACACTCTTTCCCTCATACTCAACCACACTCACCCTCTCTACAGTGAGGAGCATTTGCAGCAGTACCTTCCCGAGGGTCTCCCTCCTTCAATGGAAAAAGAGTTTGAGGCCTCTAAGTCCCGTGCCATTCTCCTTCGGGCAGCCACAAAAGAATTTATTCAAAAGCTTCAAGCTGCCCGAGATCACCAGTCCAGCTCATCAAACTCCAGTAATCCCGTGGAACCTTCCGACAGCTCTGAAGGGCAGGTTAAAAATTCCTCCCCAGGCTCGTTTCTGCTCCGAGGCCATCCGGGCAGCGGAAAAACTTGTCTCCTGCTGACCGCAGTGTTCTGGGCCCGTGCAAACGGGTGGTTGGTGTTTTACGTGCCCAAGGCTAGAGAATGGACGAATAACGGATTGTACTACAAACATCCTGAGAGTGAGGGTGCGGAGAGGGGAGAGGAGGGAGTGAGGGTGGAGGATGGAGGAGAAGTGAGGGTGGGAGCTGGAGGGAGAAGAAAGGCGATTTGGGATACCCCTATACAAGCACAAGCAGCACTCAAGGTGCGATGATCGTTATTGCAATTGCTACGGTTTCCAGCTGCTTAAGTGGATTCAGTGTGATGAGTGTTCTGAGTGGCATTATCAGAATTAATCATTCTTGAGTTAATTCAATGCAGGATGGGTGTTTTATCCATCTTCCCCTTTTCTCCCCTTTCCACCACCCTGCCAGTCGTTTCTTGCAGCCCACCAGGAGATTCTGTCCTCTCTGCCCGTTCAGCTGCCCGAACCAATCACTCTGGGGGAAGGGCCAGGCATCGGCTTGGCTCGGGGCAGCCAGGTCGTATCGCCAGGCTCTGATTGGTCGCTGGGAGATCTCGTGAAATATGGAGCCGACCACTCACATGCTGCCACGAGCGTTGTGGTTCGGCTTAGGGAGGAGCTGGGAAGGGTGACTTCTGTTCCAACCATGATTGCTGTTGATGAGGTGAGGTGAGGAAGATAGAGTGGGGACGAGAGAGAGAGGGGAGATTAGATGGTGGGGGCACAGCCACAGATGGTGGTTTGGCTGAGAGAGGAGCTGGGAAGACTGACTTCTGTTCCCACCATGATTGCTGTTGATGAGGTGAGATGAGGGAGGGAGAATGGGGAGAGAAGGGGTTTAGATGGTGGGAACACTATCACCAGTGCAATGATTTGACTGAGGGAGGAGCTGGGAAGAGTGACTTCTGTTCCCACCATGATTGCTGTTGATGAGGTGAGGGAGTGGGGAGTGGAGAGGGGAAAGCGAAGCTGGGTGAGGAGACTGTGATAGGCTTGAGCAAGTAGATCTTGTGATCTTCAGACATTTTCCTGTGAGCAGCGGCGCTTAGGTTTAGGCTTGAGCAAGTAGGAAAAAGACAGTGTAGTTCTTAACACTAGCTACTAGCCAAGGAAAATGGGACCTTGGCTGGTAGCTGGGCGAGGAGACTGTGATAGTTTGCCGATGAACAACGTTGTTCTAATCTAAGTCGTCTACTGGGCGACTGTTCTAAGTCGTCCCGAGATTACATGCCTGCAGTCATTACATGGGCGCACCCTGTTTCCCACTCTTCTCCTGCCTTCTTTCCTCTTTCTCCCCCTGTGTGTGTGCGTGCAGTTCAACGCATGGTTCACATTCGCGGGCTTCTTTGAGTCCACAGGAGACAGAAGCCGGAGGCAGATACATGCTGGGGAGATGCGCATGGTGGGTGGTGGTGGGTGGTGGTGGTGGGTGGTGGGTGTTGGGTGGTGGGTGGGGGGTGTTGGGTGGTGGTAAAAGTGTGGCGGGTGGTGTGCTGATGGGGATGGGCTTTTGAGGCGTCCTTTTGCAAGGCAGTGGCATCATGGCAGCTGAGTCCATAGCCGTGGGGAGGCTCCTTGCACTGCTGCCAGTGATGCTGCTTCAGTCACACCCTATGTATTGTTTGTTTGTTTGATTTTTCATTATTATTTTTTGCTCCATGGCTCCTCTCATACCCCGACTGGTCACCTTCCGTATTCTCAGGTGAACGCCTTCCGCCCCCTGCAAGGCAGTGGCATCATGGAATGGAAGCTGCATTCTCCGAGTCCATAGCAGTGGGGAGGCTCCCGGCAGTGCTGCCGGGGGTTCTGCTTCAGTCACACCCCTGATTTTTATGTCCAACCCCCTCCCATACCCCAAATGATCACCTTCCATTTTCCCAGGCGAATGCCTTCCACCCTTTGGAGGCCAGTGGCATCATGGCCGCTGCATTCTCCGAGTCCATAGCAGTGGGGAGGCTGCTTGCTGTGCTGCTGGGGGTGATGCTGCTTCAGTCAGACGCTTACCCCAATTTGCATGTACCCCAAATGTCATCTCTCTTATCCCCCTCAGGTGAACGCCTTCCGCTCTTTAGAAGCCAGTGGCATCATGGCAGCTGCATTCTCCGAGTCCATAGCAGTGGGGAGGCTTCCGGCAGTGCTGCCGGGGGTGCCTAAGGGCGTGCGGTTGAACGTGCCGCGCTTCACTGTTGACGAAACGCTTGCGCTGCTGCAGCACTACCAGAAGAGGTGCGAGCGACTCATGCGTGCTGGTGTGCCTGTGTGCTGGTGTGCATGCGTGCTGGTGTGCATGTGTGCTGGTGTGCCTGTGTGCTGGTGTGCCTGTGTGGTGGCTACTTTTTGTTTGTTTTTTTTTCTATCCAGAAAAGTACCCTTCCGGGTTCCAAGTTCTTGTTCTGTTTGGGTGTCAGGATCTTCATTAGAGGAGGCTGGCTGCTTGTGGAGGTGAGAAAAGCTGCCTGCACTGTGTCCTCGGTGTGTGTGTGTGTGTGTTTGTGTGTGTGTGTGTGTGTGGGTGTGTGTGTGCGCGCGCACGCGTGCGTGCGTGCGTGGTTGCGCGTGCGTGCGTGTGTGTGTGCGTGCACACGCGTTTCCCAATTGCTTGACCTTGATTGTCCAGTCGAATTAAACTATATAGATGATAATCTCGCACTGCTGTCATTTTCTCTTATCCCGGACCAAACCTCACTTTTCCCTGACCTAACCTCCCCCCGCTCAACCCACAACCCCCCCTCTTTCCTTTCCCAACCCTGCCTCTGGGCTGATCAATGCAGTTGCAAGCTGGGCCGTGTGACGGATAACGAGGAGAATATTAAGGAGGCTGCGGTGCGCGCATGCATGGTTACAGGGGGAAACGCTGCACAGCTTAGAAACGTGGCACATTTTCTGTGATTATGTGTGGGTGGCATGAAAAGGAATACCTTGTGGTAGTGGTGCCTTGAACAAAATAAGAGAGATGCTCCACTTGTTTGTTATGGTTTGCCTCTTGTGATGTAGCTGTGGGTAATACCGGTACCTTCAGAGAAATGTACGGCTACACAGGGCAAGTCAGCCTCACATATGGATGTGTTGCATTTACAAAGTACATTTCATGTTGAAGCCATAAGGATAACATGATTTGAGAGTGTCTACTAGGATATCGCGGATAGCGCTATTGAAGACACAGCTCGTTGGAACTGAACCTGGTCTGGTTATCATACAGTTGCGTGGTCCCAAGAAGTAGTCTTTCTAAACTAGGTGAACGGTCTTGTTCGGTTTGCTGCGTTCCAAGGCGGTAATGTAGTAAACCGCTTTGAATATACAGCAGAACCATCAGTGCTGCTGGTCTAACGGTCTTTGGCAATACCGAGGATTTTATCGAGTAGATCAGCTACAGAAGCTCAGCAGCATAGGAGCTCTCGGGAGCGGGAGGGGTAGTGAGGCGAGGCAAAAGTCGGACTGGTACGAGAGTGAGTATCTGAGCCCGACAGTGGCAAGTGACTGCCAAGACACTCTGAAGTATCGAGCGGCATTGTCGTCGTTTCCATATTTTCTAATCGTCTTGCTTAATTATTGACTGGTTACAAAGAATGTCGACGTTGAAATGGAACCTAACTCCGCTTACGGACCCAACCGTTGCTGCATCGTGCAAAGACGGCGACACGACGAAACCGCGATCGAAGGTCATTCACCTGGTTCGTTCTAACCCTGAACATATTTTATATGCTTCGTACGTAGTCTATGCCCTATTCTGATCGTAATGCACGCTACATATTTCCTTTCTGGAAGAGAAGCAATATTTTGTCTCAGTCAGTTATTCTTTTGGGGATTGCCTTCGACAGTTCCGTTTCGAGAGGCAATCAGTGCGCGATTGCTTATAAATTGCTAAAAAATGCTTGGAGTCTTGAGAAGGACGCACTTTTTGAGCCGTAAAACGCAACTTAGGTTGCGTTCAATTCTCCCTCCTCTTTCAAAGTTACGGAGCTTCTATGACTCACGAGCTCGTTGACGAGCTACTTACCGCCCCATCCGGCATATAAGACATTGCATTTCACAATTCCATCCTTTACTGACATTGCACGAACTCCCCATTTATGTTGCCCAAATTAACTTCTATGACTTAACGAGCTCGTTGACGAGCTATGTACCGCCCCATCCGGCATATGCAACCTTGCTGCTTTCTGTCATTACACAAACGTATAATTACCTTACATTACATAAGCTCACCATGTCACTCACATTGCACATTCTCGCCATCTCACTGACGCTTTTCACACGCCTCCACTTCAGTGTCATTGCACAATCTCAGCGTCTCACCGACATTGTGCAATCCCAATCCCATCTTCCCACCTTCAATTGATCCTGTGACGGCGTGACCTGCTCAATATCCAATACATCCTTTCCCTGGCGCTCTTTTTGTGGTCAGATTCGTCACGGGCAGGCAGTGCACAATTTGGTGATGGACACGGAGCAGTATAAGCTCGAAAAGTATCTCGACTGCCCGCTCAGCACTCAGGGATTTGAGCAGGTCTGATTCTGCAAATCAGCTCTAATTATTTCTTCCTTTTTCTTTCCAAATCCTTCAGTTAACAGCTTCTGTTGTACTTCATTTGCTCAATCTCGCTTCAAGCCTCCCCCATTTGCTCCAACCACCGCACCGCAGGTAGCAGAGCTGCGCAGTGAAGTAGCGGCCAACCGGCAACGTCCAGTTATTGCTTTCTGTTTCACTCTGTTTTCTCTCTTTGCACTTGCGTCTATCTCGCTTCAAGCCTCCCCCATTGCTCCAACCACCACACCACAGGTAGCAGAGCTGCGCAGGCAAGTAGCGGCCAACCCTCCTCCAGGCTTCCCTGCTGATCTGATAGTCGTCTCTCCCCTGCTGCGGTAAGTTGTGTCCTCTCACTGTTCCGTCTCCCCTGCTGAAATAAGTCAACACTTGTCCTCACTGTTACGCACTGTGCCCGTTTCTCCCCTGCTGCGGTAAGCAAGCTCCCTTCCTCTCACTTTTGAGAATTCTATTTTGAGAGTCACTTTTGACTCGTTTCTCCCAAGCTCTCTTCCTCACACCGTTGTGCACTGTGTTCCTTTCTCCCTTTCTGCAGTAAGTTTGGAGTTTTTATGTCTTTATGCTGCATATCACTGTGGTCTTATTCGTTCCAGGCGCGTACAAATACACAAACCTTTTCCACCCTCCACTCACAGTTCCCTTTCCCCTCCTCTTTCACTCCCTCCTCCCCTTCATCAGCACACTGCAAACAGCAGTGGGCGCCTTTGGCCCTCCTAACACTGCCATTCCAGTCGACCTTCCCCCAAAAGAAGCAGCTTCTAAGAACTTTCCCGTTGTGGACGGGTTCACAGCAGGAACCAATGGGGTGGAAGCGGTTGTGCCTGCGACTGTTGTGACGGCTCCTGTGGCAACTGAAGGTGGTAACCAGGTTACCACCACGCTGCCAGCACACATTTTGGCAAACGAGCTCTGCAGAGAAACGCTGGTGAGCTGAGATGAGTTGAGTGAGTAGGTGGGTGTTAGTGAGTGCGGGATGGGGTTTAGTCATTGCGCCGTGAGGGGTGGTGAGTGTGGAGTGAGTGAGCAGGTGTAGCGTGATGCTGACTGTGATGCGTGAAATCATGTGCGCGTCACAATGTCTCCTACCCAGATAACAGCACATTCATTCGCGTCTCCTGCTGATAAAGCACATCTTTCCGCAGTTCATTTCCCACATCGTGTTGCCTGCCTACCAGAGAGGTGTGCATGTGCATGTGTGTCACATGTGCATGTGCACAGTGCATGTGTGGTAGTACATGTGCATGTGTGTTACATGTGCATGTGTGTTACATGTGCATGTGTATTACATGTGCTTGTGCATGTGTGTCACATGTGTGTGTGTCTGCTTTCACACGTACATTTTTGTGTGTGCACATGTGCAATAAGCTCCAATCCAAGTAATCAGAGAGAAGCATGCACGCATGTAGTTGCCCATGCTCCCTTCCACCCCTCCTGTTCCCTCTCCCCTCCAGTTTTTCTCATATCACATATATCCACTTGTCTATCTATCATGCCTCCCTCCCGCACAGCATGTGCATGTGTGTGACAAGCGCCGGCCAATCAGAGAAAAGAAGGACCTCTTCTCCTCTGTGGACTTCAGTCAGGTGCAGTGCTGGCCGCGTTCTGGGTGTTGTGCGGCACAGGGTGGTGTAGTGCGGTGCAGTGCGAATTTTTATGTGCTGTGCATTCCTGGCTGTTTTCATCGTGTCGTGCTGTGTAGTGGCATGCTGTGGGTGTTCTTGCACTGAATGTCTACTTCGATGGGTGTCGCGTCGTACATGCATGCACAGAACCCAATCGTGAAGCTGTAACCCTAACCCTCAAGCAAACCTGTACTCGTTTTGTGAGCATGACCATTTGCGGATGACACTGCAGATCATGGATGATGAGGATGGGCTGTGGAAGGTGGAGCCCAGGGAGACTCGAGTTCTTGGATGTTCCTTAATACTCACTGATGTCCACACCCCACCGCACCACACCACACCACACTGCACCGCACCGTACGGCAGATCACAGATGATGAGGATGCGCTGTGGAAGGTGGAGCCCAGGGAGACTCGTGAGGAGATCGCACAACGAGCTACTGATCTCGCCACATGGTGTGTGCGATTGTCTGACTTTTGAGCCGGCGTTTGAGATGACTTTTGAGATGTATCGTAAGAACTACTGATCTTGCCGCATGGTGCGCTTTTCTGACTTCCAGGACCTTGCACCCTTCACTTATCGTATGCTAGCAGCACGGGGCACTTTATATTTCTTCCACCGTCTTGCTCAGGCCTGTAATTGTCAGGCTGGTACCATACTTCAGCAGCAGCTTTTCCTCAAGTCTTAGGGTGCTTCTTGTTTTACGACATCTCTATCCTTCCCTGTTTTTCCTCCCCATTGTCACCCCGCTTCTTTCTTCTCCGGCTCTTTCTCCCCTCCCCTTCCCTAGGCTGCTCGGACTCAAGGAGCAATCCATAGCAGTTGTCTCTCACAGCGGTTTCCTCCATGCCTTCGCCACTGTTGGCCTGCCCCCACACCTACGGCCCGAAAACAAGCTCGTCTAGTGAGTGCACCTGTTCTCAACCTCTATCCCTCCTTCCCCCGTGCTACCCGTGACAAACTCTGTTTATGTTGCTCCCCAATCCTTCCAAGTTGTTCCTCATGTTTCGGAGGCACGTGAAAGTTTGCAATTCATCCTAGGTCTGTGTTTTTACCTCTTTCCCATCCCTTCCCTGCCAATTTTACTTTTCCCGTGCCCCCTCTCTGGTGTCTCAGTTTTGAGAACTGCCGGCTACGCTCGTACATCCTCTCAGCAGAAGAATGACATCCTTTCTTGACTGACCAACAGTAGTATCACATCTAATGTTTCAAGAGGATAGCTTGATTGCTGTACACCCCTAGTTTCAACTGATCTTGCAGTAGAAGGATTCGTAGCTATCACTGTGCTATCAGGTCTCAGTCAATCAAAGTGGCTAAAGATGAAGTTCAGCAGTGCCCTGTTATTATGTTGTACAAGCTGAGAAGTGAAAGAAATTTGACTAGTTACAGCTGAGGGGCAGATACAAAATGCTCTCAAGGAAAATAGTCACGCCAATTGTTGTAGTAAGATTCTCTCACTTCCTTGGACATCATTTTGTTCCACTGCACAACAATAGCCACAGAAAAACCCATCCTCATGTGAAACATATATACCAAGCAGAGAGGATGGCAAACAACATGGTGAAAAGCATCATGACGCATAGCACAGGCAGCAACAGATATGACTCGAGGCATTCATTCCAGGAACCTCCTGGAGTCAATACGGAAGCGTATAATAAACACGCACCTTAGGCTCGTAAGGCTTTCTCTGCCGGCACGCCTTCTTGAATTGATGGTTCTCGTGAATGTACGCCATGTCGTGCCAGCTGGAAGGATCGTGAAGGGAAAGAAGGGATGGGATGTCAGCGCAAGGGTTGGAAAAGGATGAAAGGTACTTTGACAATCAGCCGAAGCTGAGAACGTTATTTTCCTGACTCACCTTCAGCGTGATCCACAAGACCATGAAAATGTAAATTCTTACATTTACATTAACAGATTGTGCCAAAGGCTCATTTTCCAGGGACATGCTCGCCTGTAGAAGATTGCATGCGCCTTCTACTTCAAACCAAGCGGAAAGATTTGTGCTCAGTCGTCTGCTGGCTGTGATACGAATCAGTTATCAAGACACACGGACTCGACGAACTTACTTGTGCTCTGTTGAGTGCTGCCAGTAATATGGATCGGCTACCGAGTAGAGCGAAAACCCGACGGCTCCCCAGAAAATGCCGGAAAATATGTCTTTATCAGTGTGAGGCACGCCGGGATCGCCGGTATACGCGGGTCCGAAAATCTTATCCATCCTGGATTCTGAAGCTTGCAGTTAGACCAGGAACGACGTGCACGCAAACTGAGTGGTTCAGCTTACAGTCGGGAGCAACACTACCAAAGAAGCAAAAAGCTGCAATGGTTAGACTAGGGGAACCGACCAATCGTAGGTCTAGTTTCCAGCAACTAATAAAACCAGACCAGTTTGGCTAAATCGATTCTCACAGCAATTCGTTTCTAGGCTGAAACGTGAGTGGGAAATTCGAATTGAATATGGTTCAGAGCGGTATCGTACACAGTAGTTCGTTTCTGTACGGTTTCAAGGGGATGACAGGCATGGATGAGAGGTCTCCGAAACGGATGTGACGGATTATGAACTGCTCTGTGAAATGAACGGCGGGATATGGAAAGCTGATGGCTTTTGGGATTGCCCTAGAGTGTTGACGTGGCAATGACACGTCGAGTCGAGTACTTCGAGGATGGTGTCCTTGATACGGGATTATTCGATTGGCCTCACTGAAAAAGCACACCACCTCAATATTTGTTCGGCTTGATGTAAAGTTGAAAAGGCTTAAGCACAGAACAGCAAACCTGGGGCTTGGTTTACCTGGCCCGCATTAGCCAGCAAGCACAAATGCGACACTCTCAAAATTTCTTCGATTCAGCTTGCCTGAGTGTTGCTTACGCCATAGAAAATATTGGCGAATCTAAGAAGAGGCCACTGTGCAGTGAGTCCAGCTGAAGAGTAGCACTTTAGTTGATCAAGCCGGAGAGTAATCACGACGAATGTACTGCATAACGCGCTGCCTAAATGACGACGCTGCGAGTCATACGAGTAGAAGCTAAGAATTGTTAAAACGCTGCTGACTCCATTATAGCTCTTTTCTCTGCTCGCCTCTCGCAGCGATCATCGAGTGCGTGGGAACACCCACATTGTAATTGCGGGAGAGAGATCAGCTTCAGTTCTGAGCAGCTTTTCGAGTCTTCTCAAACCTCGCCTCTCACAACGATCGTCGAGGGCCAAGGGAGCACCCACGTTGTAATTGAGGGAGAGGGATCCGCTTCAGTACTGAGCAGCTTGAAAGATACGGTATCAGAGGTCGAAGTGCCTGCGATCCCGGTAGTGGATTTAGAAACCTAAACTGGCCATTCAACCTCAACGTTCGCTTGTTGTGTCGCTGTCCTGCGTTTCGTGAACCGCTATCCTGGCTGCTCGACGTTCTCTTCTGCGATCCCCTCAGAACCGCTAACAACAGCTTACAACCGTTAATAATCCAGTTATTACCCTGTAAAAATTAACCGATATGGCCTCTCCCGTGCCACCATTTCCACAAGCGATGACGGCGCCGGCAGGTTTCGCTGGTTCAGCCGGCGGGCCGGTAGACCACTACCCGCAGCCGTTAGCGACGCACGAGGCGATTCTGGGGGATCGAGTGCTGTTCCTTGACTTGCTCGCGCGGTTTCACAACCAAATGGGAGGGTCGTTGAGGTGAGAGAGATACTGAATAATACTGCTGGCGGGTACTGGGGAGGGGGGGAAAAGGGGGGGGGGAGGTGTTCGCGTGCTGTTCCTTGACTTGCCCGCGCGGTTTCACAATCAACTGGGAGGGTCGTTGAGGTGAGTTCTGGGACGTGTCAAGCTCGATTCTGGGGTATTCATGACTCGAAGCGGCGTTTGCAACGTCTACGGATTTCTCCTTCTTCCTATCGCTTCTCCCTGCTGCCTGCAGGATCCCGCAAATGGGAGGGAGGGAGCTGGACCTGCACCTGCTGTACCGTGAAGTCACAGGCCGAGGGGGCTTGATGCAGGTGAGGAGGGGTGGGGATGGGGTGGAATTGGTGAAGAGTGGTGCAGGTGTTATTTATCGAGATGGGAGGGAGCGAGTTGGACCTGCTTCCCACTTCACCCTCCCTTTCCCCCCTCTTCACTTTTTACAGGTGATAGCGAACCGCAAGTGGAGAATCTTCTGACATATTCTCAGCGAGCTGTAGACTTGGTCGGGCTTAACACGGCCCGTTCCCCCCTCTTCACTTTTTACAGGTGATAGCGGATCGCAAGTGGAGGGACGTGACGATCCCGTTCGACTTCCCGCCCACCACCACCAGTGCTTCATACGTCCTCCGAAAGTTCTACATCAACCTACTGCACCACTTCGAGCAGACATACTTCTTCAATCGCCAAGGGCCACTGGTGCCCCCTCCTCGTGAGTCCCCCTTCCCCCCATCCCCACCCCTCCACCGGTGGTGCTCACTCTGCACGCCGCCACCACCACCAATGTCTCCTATCTAACTGCCACACCATGCAAGCTCTACATCAATCTGTCGCACCACTTCGAGCAGACCTACTTCTTCAACCGCCAGGGGCCCCTAGGCCCCCTCCTCGTGAGTAGATTCATCACTCTCCATCGGTGCTGCCGCATAGGTCACAACGCATCCTCCTCTCCTCTCCCACGAGTTCTACATCAACAAATCCTTCTACTGCACTACATCGAACAGACCTACTTCTTCAACCCTGGTGCCCCTGGTGCCCCTGGTGCCCCGGGGCCAAGGTCCCCTTGTGCCCCCTCCTCGTGAGTGCTTTCGTCCCCTGGCTTCTCATCGGATCGCTATCCTCTTCGCCTCCCTCTCCCCCATCTGCTCATCTACTCCAACATCTCTGCTCGCCCTGTGTGTGTGTGCAGCTCTCACCCACTTCCCTCGCAAGCGCGGGGCACGCAGGATGCAAGGCTTTGAAGCGCCTCCCCGTAAGTAACCCCCCTTTTTTTACATGCGCCAAAAGACAAGGCATGTGTCCTCGCCTCGTTAATACCTTCCCACAGGAACCCTTCCCCTCGTCAGCACTTCTCCTCGTCAGCACTTCTCCTCGTCAGCACTTCTCCTCATCAGCACTTCTCCTCGTCAGTACTTCTCCTCGTCAGCACTTCTCCTCGTCAGCACTTCTCCTCATCAGCACTTCTCCTCGTCAGCACTTCTTCTCGTCAGCACTTCTCCTCGTCAGCACTGCTCCTCGTCAGCACTGCTCCTCGTCAGCACTTCTCCTCATCAGCACTCCTCCTCATCAGCACTCCCCCTCGTCAGCACCTTTTCATGTTAGTAACCCTTCACAGTCCATAAGAAGCAATAGCAGGCGTTCAATTTCCACCTGCCCAGCATAGGGCACAACATCTCAGGCATTATCTTCACGTGATGAAAGTAGCGTTCTGAGACGTCTCAAAAAACTACTTTTATCAGCTGCCCAGCATAGCATAGGGCACAACATCTCAGGCATGGTCTGCTGCGGCCCCGCCCAACCCTTTTCTTCCCTGCTCTTTCCACACCCCGCCACAGGCACAACATCTGCCCAGGCATCATTCGCTCCACTCTTTCCCCGGATTTGCCATTTCTCCCCGCATTGCCTTGCCTCCCTTGTCCGCCTCGCCAGCGCCCCAGCTGGCGAACATAGGGCGCAACATCTCAGGCATCATCCGCTCCAAGTGTGACAACGGCTACTTCATCACCGTGCCCATGGGCGACCAGGTGTGTTCTTTCTGGGCGGACGTGTGTGTGACCCCCTAGTGCCATACATACGCGATCAGGTCTGGTCCGCAGTGCCATACACATCTGCTCGTCGTCTCAGGCATCATTCGCTCCAAGTGTGACAACGGCTACTTCATCACCGTGCCCATGGACGACCAGGTGTGTGAATGGGTGACTGGGTGTGCAAACGGGTGACCAGGTGTGATAATGGGTGACCAGGTGTGCCTTGTAGCAGTCTCACCAGATGTTTCACATGCGCTCATCTCAGGCATCATCCGCTCCAAGTGTGACAATGACTATTTCATCACCGTGATCATGGGCGGCCAGGTATGCTGATGGGGGACTTTTGAGACGTCTCAAAACACTCCTTCTTTCACGTGATGGGGGACTTTTGAGACGTCTCAAAACACTCCTTCTTTCACGTGATGGGGGACTTTTGAGACGTCTCAAAACACTCCTTCTTTCACGTGATGGGGGACTTTTGAGACGTCTCAAAACACTCCTTCTTTCACGTGATGGGGGACTTTTGAGACGTCTCAAAACACTCCTTCTTTCACGTGATGGGGGACTTTTGAGACGTCTCAAAACACTCCTTCTTTCACGTGATGGGGGACTTTTGAGACGTCTCAAAACACTCCTTCTTTCACGTGATGGGGGACTTTTGAGACGTCTCAAAACACTCCTTCTTTCACGTGATGGGGGACTTTTGAGACGTCTCAAAACACTCCTTCTTTCACGTGATGGGGGACTTTTGAGACGTCTCAAAACACTCCTTCTTTCACGTGATGGGGGACTTTTGAGACGTCTCAAAAGGTTTCATTACCGTGGTGATGGGCGACCAGATATGCTGATGGGCGGGAGTGTGACCCCCTAGTGCCTTACATATGTTCCCCAGTGCCATACGCATCTGCTCATCTCAGGCATCATTCATCACCGTGCCCATGGGCGACCAGGTGTGTTGATCGTCGACCAGGTGTGCTGATGGGCGACCAGGTGTGTTGATGGGCGACCAGGTGTGTTGATGGGCGACCAGGTTTGCTGATGGGCGACCAGGTGTGTTGATGGGCGACCAGGTGTGCTGATGGGCGACCAGGTGTGCTGATGGGCGACCAGGTGTGCCCCTCTGTCTCACCAGTTGTGCCCACGGTTCCTCTACCACCCACCCTGTACAGTCTCCTCCTCATTCCCCACCATCCCCACTCACCTTACTCTCTTGCAACCCCCGTTCTCCTCTCCCAACCCCCCTTCCTCTCCCCTCCCTCCCTCTCCTGGCAAATGCTGCACAGCCCCATCCCTCCACTCAGACCTCAACCGCTCGCAAACGGACGGCCGGCGCCGGAGGAGGAGGAAGAGGTGGAGGCGGGCCGAACTGCTAGCTCCAGCTTTACTTTGAGTCGACTCGAAAGACGCCTTCTCCTCTTCCCTGCCCCTCTCCCTCCCTCGCCCCCCCGGCCCCGTGCCCTTTCTCCCTGGCAGGTGCTGCACGGTATTCTCTACCATCCGCCCTCCACCGCCTCCTCCTCCCCGTTCGCCCCGCCCCAGCCCGTCTCCTTCCTCCTCAACGCCTTCTCCCTCGACTCAGCCCTCATCCGCTCCCAAACCCACGGCCGGCGGCGGCGGCGGAAGAGGCGGAGACGGGCCGAACTCCTAGCCGCAGCAGCGGGGGGAGTGCCGGGGGTGGTGGTGCCACCGAAGCAGAACCGCACGGGGTACAACTTCTTCTTTGGGGAGCAGCGGATGAAGCTCAAGGCTGACATGCCTGACGTGCCGGATCGTGAGATCAGCCGCCTCATTGGCCAGCGGTGGATGGCCCTTTCTCCTCAAGACCGCATTGTGAGTGCCTCTCTCTTGCTCTCTTTGGGGAGCAGCGGATGAAGCTCAAGGCTGACATGCCTGACGTACCGGATCGTGAGATCAGCCGCCTGATCGGCCAGCGGTGGATGGCCCTTTCTCCTCAAGACCGCATTGTGAGCGCTGCTCTCTTCTATTCCCCCTGTTTCTCAATCTCTCCCTCTCTCATCGGCAAACGATGGGTGGCTCTCTCCTCTCAAGACAGGATCGTGAGCGCTCTCCTCTCTCGTGATCTCCTCTCCTGTGCTCTCCTCTCTTGTGCTCTCTCCCTCTCTTGTGCTCTCTCCCTCTCTCGCTCTCTCTCACTTTTCCCCTCTCTGTCTCTCGTCTCTTTCTCTCTCCATATCCCCCTCCCCCTCTCCCCACCTCTCCTTCCCCCTCCCTTGTTCCCCCAGCCGTACCAGGAGCAAGCGGAGCGGGACAGGAAGCAGCATGTGGCAGAAATGATGGAATACAATGAGGAGATGTATTCGGCACCACCCTTACCCCACGTGTAGTAAGTCAGTTTTTGAGTTGACTCAGAAATCGACTTACTACAAGCGGAGTGGGACAGGAAGCAGTATATGGCAGAAATGATGGAATACAACGAGGAGATGTATTCGGCACCACCACCCTTTCCTCACACACACACACACACCTTTCCTCCTCCCCCTTTTTTTTATTACCAGCCATACCAGGAGCAGGCAGAGCGGGACAGGGAGCGATATGTGGCAGAGATGAGGGAATACAACGAGAGACGCACACAAGCAGGAGGGGGAGGAGGAGTAGGAGGGGGCGAGGGTGGGGGGGTAGTAGGAGCAGGAGTGGGAGGAAGGGGAGGGGGAGGGGGAGCAGGCGGAGAGGGCGTGGGGGCAGTGGGAAGTGGCGGAGTGGGAAGCGGGGGGTTGGGGGGGAGATTTAGAGATCTGGGACAGTATATGGCGGATGTGGATAGGGTTATGGGGGGAGGGGGGTTCAGGCGGGGGGGAATGGGGGGAGCGGGGGGGAGGGGAGGTGCAGGATTTGAAGGAGAGATGGAGGAGGAGGAAGAGGAGGAGGATGAGGAGGGAATTGAGGGTGAAGAGGAGTATGAGGAGGAGGGATATGAGGAGGAGGAGGGAGAAGGAGAGGAGGGGTATGAGGATGAAGAGGAGGAGGAAGGAGAGGGGGAGGAGGAGGATGGAATGGAATTCGGAGTGATAACTGGGCATGCTGGCCTGCAGGTAGGAGCTGATGTGGATACACGTGTGCAAGTGGGGGTGCATGCCTCTGAACCCCTCAGCACCGCAGTGGCTGCTGTGCCTGGGAGTGGCTCTAAGCCTAACAGCAACCCTCCTGGGCCCTCTCAGCCTTCTGTAGCAGTCAAACCCGCAGCTGCAACCACCTCTGCTCCTGCTGCTCCTGCCGCTGCTCCTGTTGCTGCTTCTGCCGCTCCTCCTGCTTCTTCTGCTGCTCCTGCTGCTGCAGCCCCTGGTGCTGCTGCTGCTGCTGCTTCTGCCTCTGCCGCTCCTGCTGCTGCTTCTGCCCCTGCTGCCCCTGTTGCTGCTTCTGCTCCTGCTGCTGCTGCCCCTGCTGCTGCTGCCCCTGCTCCTATTGCTGCTTCTGCCGCTCCTCCTGCTTCTTCTGCTGCCCCTGCTGCTACTACTGCTCCTGGTGGTGCTGGCCCTGCTACTGCTCCTGCTACTGCTTCTCCCGCTTCTGTTCTTGCTCCTGCTCCTGCTCCTGTTCCTGCTCCTGCTGCTGCTGCTACAACTCCTGCTTCTGCTAATGAGGGGAAAGATACTCAGATGGACGAGGCAAGTCCACGAAAGGACGCTAAGGTACCAGTGGAAGGAGATGGAATTGTAGTAGCAGCAGAGGAAGCAGGAGCAGATGCAGCAGCGAGAACAGAAGTAGGAGGAAAAGAAGCAGGAGCAGTAGCAGAAGCAGAAGCAGCAGAAGCAACAGCAGCAGCAACAGGAGCAGGAGATGTTGCAAGTGGAGGGGCTGTAGGCAAAGAGGGAGCAGGCAATATTCCTGCCACATCTGCTGCTGGTGCTGCTGGTGGTGCTTCTTCTCCCACTGTAGATAATGCTGCCGCTAGTGCTGATGGTGGTGTTTCTACTGCTGGTGGTGATGTTGCTGTTACTGTTGTTGCTGCTGATGGTGATGGTGCTACTGGTGGTGCTGCTGCTGCTCCTGGTGATGCTGCTGTTGCTGGTGAAGGTATGGATGTGGAAGCACCTACTGCTGGTGCTGCCAATGCCACCACTGTTACTGCCGGTGGTGATACTGGTGGTGCTGGTGCTGGTGATGCTGGGGGTGGTGCTGTTACTTCTGGTGGTGATGGTGCTGCTGTGAGTGGAGTGGGCATGGATGTGGATGCGCCTAGTGCTTTGAAAACTGAAGAACCTGTTTTGGGTGCATCTGAGGCAGGGGCACCTGAAGCAGGGGCACCTGAAGCAGGGGCACCTGAGGCAGAGGCACCTGAAGCAGGGGCACCTGAGGCAGATGCACCTGAAGCAGGGGCACCTGAAGCAGGGGCACCTGAAGCAGAAGCACCTGAACCTCCTGGTGCCCCTGCACCTGCTGATGGGAATGCTGGTGTTCCAATTCCAAGTGACAAAGAGAAAGGGGAGGCTAATGAAGGAACTTCAGTTGAGTGAAGGGTTGTTTGTAATGCCTGAGGATGAATGGTAAGTACTTGTTTTGGGCCTCCAGAAACAGCAGAGCTGAGAAACAGAGGCATCAAATGAGATGAATGGAAGGGAAAAGCCTAAATATTGAGTAGGTTTGCAGACATGTCGATTTGTTGCTAGGCGCTTCTACTGGTGGTAAAGATCTGGCTGTTAGCTAAAGCTGATTAACTCTCATTGCTTGTTTGTCATTTGTGCTTTTCAACAGAAACGTGGTGGCCTACTCTATTACAATTAAAAGTGTGTATACAGTGAGTTCACGTGTCGAACCGGCCATCGCCGTGATGGACGGTGTGGTGGGCAGCCGCTGAATTTGTCAATATGATTATTCTATCGGGCAGGACGACGAATGCTCGCATTCGACATTTAAAACACGAATAATTGTGGAGCTCTAGCTCATTTTCTACCCTCTAAGATTGTGTTACACTGATCGCAGGACTTACGGCAGTTTTTCCCCAGCCCAGCAATTTGACCTGTCAGATAATAATTGTCCTGGGAGATTGACTCGCTCATGATTGGTCCATCTCCGGAACGCGTTTCTCAGCATTGCGACTCGAGCGGCGGAACCTAGAAAGCTTCACCCCGCACCCCCTTCTGTTCCGCTCCCCTTCTCTCCACTCCAGGCGTAGGGGGAATGGTTGGGGGAGAAGGGGGAATCCCCCAACCATTCCCCCTACGCCTCTTTCCACCTCCCTCCCTACTCCTCTCTCCCCTCCCCTTCCCCCTAACACCCAAGGTTACGAGTTCTACGACTCACTGTGGCCCCTCCAACCACCAGGGAATGGATTCAGGTATGCGTGGCAGAGGTCTAGAATGTAAATGAGCCGCTTTATTAGATCCGGCATCGTATCAAACCATTCTGTCACGCGAAGTGTGTTTTCAACATTCCAGAAGATATGTCCCTCACATCCTAAACATCCCCCGAGTGCCATTCCATTTCTAATTATAAAATTTTCGTTCCTAACAAAAACATTACATGGCGTTTCATGGCGAACAAACATGGGTCGCAGCTGCGTCGGTGGCCCCCGGGCGAAGTAGGGAGCGATGCAATTGCGGAGTATCCGCACTCCGGCAATTATTTACTTCGCTAGGACGCGTATCAAGTCATGTGCAAGCAGTACAGTGGTTAACCCACACGGTTAGGCTGGTGCCTGACTCTAGCAACAGCGACCTGCTAACTCGACCTAGAACTCGTAACATTTGCCTTCGTGCTTCTCAGACTTGGATTTTCCCTCGTATTATCAAGCGGCTTTTCCCGGCGTTTCGCCGGCTCGTTTATAATAGTTGGGAAGTCTTCACGATTCCGAGGCGCCTCATACATCGTTTTGCTCGTCGCCTTTCTTTCAGAAACTTTACAATCGGAGGGTAGACAATCATGTTTTGACTCTTCAAAACTCTCTCGTCGTACCAGCTTTCCCAAATCCCTTCGCGCCGAGTCCCTCCCATCGCTAGTTCTCCCCGTTAGCGTTGAGACTTCAACTTGTCTTGTGCGTTCTCTGGACCTGGTTACGGCCCAGTTCACTCCAATCCCATCATGGGGGGAACACGACGTCCGCTTCAGCCTGCGAAAGCCGTGAATGCCGCGAATGCCGTGAATGTCGTGAATGCCGTGAATGCTGCGAATGCCGTGAATGCTGCGAAAGCCGTGAATGCCGCGAATGCCGTGAATGTCACGAATGTCGCGATTGTCGCGAATGTCTCGTGGGAGAAGCCGAACATCAATCAGGCCACCGTCGAATCTGACCGTCGAAGTCGCTCTATTCGACGAAATAGATGCGGAGCCTCTGCGGTTACTACCGCCGCTGCCTCAGCGACCGCCGTCAACGGCGGTGGTGCTACTAAGAGTCACAGTCGACGCGGCGCGATTCTCGCTGCTTTTCTCCTTCTGGCCGTCGCCTCGCGCTCGTGCGAAGGAGCAACGGACCAGACTCAAGGTAGGAACGGTGGTGGTTTGTTTGTAGCAGTGACATTGGCAGTGGCAGAGGCAGTGACTCAATTAGTCGACTGATAAAGTCGGACACCGTGTGAGCAACGGACTAGACTAAGCTGCTGGTGACCACGGCGCACATTGACCCCTGTGGGGCCAGCAGCGGTAGAGCGCCATGGCCGGGAGTGCTGTGCGGTGGAGCGTTGTGCCCGTGGAGTGCTGTGCAGTGCAGCGTCGTGGCCGGGAGTGCAGTGCGGTGGAGCGTCTTGCCTGGGAGTGTTGTGCGGTGGAGCATCGTGTCCGGGAGTGCTGTGCGGTGGAGTGTCATAGCCACTGGGCCGGAAGTGCTGTGCTCGTCTGTTTCTCACTTCCCGCTCCCCCTGCTCCCCTTCTCCCTGATCCCTGATCCCTATCCCTGCTCCCTGCTTCCTGCTCCCTGCTCCCTGCTTCCTGCTCCCTGCTCCCTGCTTCCTGCTTCCTGCTTCCTGCTCCCTGCTTCCTGCTCCCTGCTCCCTGCTTCCTGCTTCCTGCTCCCTGCTTCCTGCTCCCTGCTTCCTGCTCCCTGCTTCCTGCTCCCTGCTTCCTGCTTCCTGCTCCCTGCTTCCTGCTCCCTGCTCCCTGCTCCCTGCTTCCTGCTCCCTGCTTCCTGCTTCCTGCTCCCTGCTTCCTGCTCCCTGCTCCCTGCTCCCTGCTTCCTGCTCCCTGCTCCCTGCTTCCTGCTCCCTGCTCCCTGCTTCCTGCTCCCTGCTTCCTGCTCCCTGCTTCCTGCTCCCTGCTTCCTGCTCCCTGCTTCCTGCTCCCTGCTTCCTGCTCCCTGCTCCCTGCTCCCTGCTCCCTGCTTCCTGCTTCCTGCTCCCTGCTTCCTGCTCCCTGCTTCCTGCTCCCTGCTTCCTGCTCCCTGCTTCCTGCTCCCTGCTTCCTGCTCCCTGCTTCCTGCTCCCTGCTTCCTGCTCCCTGCTCCCTGCTTCCTGCTTCCTACTCCCTGGTTCCTGCTCCCTGCTTCCTGCTCCCTGCTTCCTGCTCCCTGCTTCCTGCTCCTGCTTCCTGCTCCCTGCTTCCTGCTCCCTGCTTCCTGCTCCCTGCTTCCTGCTCCCTGCTCCCTGCTTCCTGCTTCCTGCTCCCTGCTTCCTGCTCCCTGCTTCCTGCTCCCTGCTTCCTGCTCCCTGCTTCCTGCTCCCTGCTTCCTGCTCCCTGCTCCCTGCTTCCTGCTTCCTGCTCCCTGCTTCCTGCTCCCTGCTTCCTGCTCCCTGCTTCCTGCTTCCTGCTCCCTGCTTCCTGCTCCCTGCTTCCTGCTCCCTGTTTCCTGCTCCCTGCTTCCTGCTCCCTGCTTCCTGCTCCCTGCTTCCTGCTCCCTGCTTCCTGCTCCCTGCTTCCTGCTCCCTGCTCCCTGCTTCCTGCTCCCTGCTTCCTGCTCCCTGCTTCCTGCTCCCTGCTTCCTGCTCCCTGCTTCCTGCTCCCTGCTTCCTGCTCCCTGCTTCCTGCTCCCTGCTTCCTGCTCCCTGCTTCCTGCTCCCTGCTTCCTGCTCCCTGCTTCCTGCTCCCTGCTTCCTGCTCCCTGCTTCCTGCTCCTGCTTCCTGCTCTGCTCCCTGCTTCCTGCTCCCTGCTTCCTGCTCCCTGCTTCCTGCTCCCTGCTTCCTGCTCCCTGCTTCCTGCTCCCTGCTTCCTACTCCCTGCTTCCTGCTCCCTGCTTCCTGCTCCCTGCTTCCTGCTTCCTGCTCCCTGCTTCCTGCTCCCTGCTTCCTGCTCCCTGCTTCCTGCTCCCTGCTTCCTGCTCCCTGCTTCCTGCTCCCTGCTTCCTGCTCCCTGCTCCCTGCTTCCTGCTTCCTGCTCCCTGCTTCCTGCTCCCTGCTTCCTGCTCCCTGCTTCCTGCTCCCTGCTTCCTGCTCCCTGCTTCCTGCTCCCTGCTTCCTGCTCCCTGCTTCCTGCTCCCTGCTTCCTGCTCCCTGCTTCCTGCTTCCTGCTCCCTGCTTCCTGCTCCCTGCTTCCTGCTTCCTGCTCCCTGCTTCCTGCTCCCTGCTTCCTGCTCCCTGCTTCCTGCTCCCTGCTTCCTGCTTCCTGCTCCCTGCTTCCTGCTCCCTGCTTCCTGCTTCCTGCTCCCTGCTCCCTGCTTCCTGCTTCCTGCTCCCTGCTTCCTGCTCCCTGCTTCCTGCTCCCTGCTTCCGGCTCCCTGCTTCCTGCTTCCTGCTCCCTGCTTCCTGCTCCCTGCTTCCTGCTTCCTGCTCCCTGCTTCCTGCTCCCTGCTTCCTGCTCCCTGCTTCCTGCTCCCTGCTTCCTGCTCCCTGCTTCCTGCTCCCTGCTTCCTGCTCCCTGCTTCCTGCTCCCTGCTTCCTGCTCCCTGCTTCCTGCTTCCTGCTCCCTGCTTCCTGCTCCCTGCTTCCTGCTCCCTGCTTCCTGCTCCCTGCTTCCTGCTCCCTGCTTCCTGCTTCCTGCTCCCTGCTTCCTGCTCCCTGCTTCCTGCTCCCTGCTTCCTGCTCCCTGCTTCCTGCTTCCTGCTCCCTGCTTCCTGCTCCCTGCTCCCTGCTCCCTGCTCCCTGCTTCCTGCTTCCTGCTCCCTGCTTCCTGCTCCCTGCTCCCTGCTTCCTGCTTCCTGCTCCCTGCTTCCTGCTCCCTGCTTCCTGCTCCCTGCTTCCTGCTCCCTGCTTCCTGCTCCCTGCTCCCTGCTCCCTGCTCCCTTCTCCCCTTCTCCCTGCTCCCATGCTCCCCTGCTCCCATTGCCCCCCTATCCCCCCCCCACTCCCCATCCACCAGTCACCATCCTCACCACCATCGCAGCGTCACTTGGCGCCAGGGATCGCCACTTCTCTGCCTGGAAGAGCACCAAACCGACCCCTGTGGGGCGAGCAGCAGTGGCCAGGAGCGGTGCGCTCGTTGGTGTCTCACATCACATCCCACCCGCACACCGCGGCTCCCCTCTCCCTCCCCTCCCCACCACCAGTCGCCCTGCTCACCACCATCGCAGCGTCACTTGGCGCCAGGGATCGCCTTTTGTGTGTCTGGAAGAGCACCCAACCCCGTGCAGCCAGCATTGGAAAGAGCCGACTTCTGCAGAACCTGGACAGGCGCCTAACCGACCCCTGTGGGGCGAGCAGCAGTGGGCGCCGGGATTGGTGCGCTCGTCTGTTCTCTCTTCCCTCACACTCTCCCCTGCTCCCCTGCTCCCCTGCACCCCTGCTCCCCTGCTCCCCTGCTCCCCTGCTCCTCTGCTCCTCTGCTTCGCTCTCCCACTCCCCTCCACCAGTCGCCATCCTCACCACCATCGCTCAGTCACTTGGAGCCCAAACCTGCATCTTCAGAACCTGGACGGGCACCGACCCCTGTGGCACTGGCGGGGGGGCGGTGTGGTGGGGAGTGGTGTGCTCGTCGGTGTCTCGCTTCCCACTCTCCCCTGCCCCTTCTCCCTCCCCTCCCCCTCCACCAGTCGCCATCCTCACCACCATCGCTCAGTCACTTGGATCCCAAACCCGCGTCTTCAGAACCTGGACGGGCACCGACCCCTGTGGCACTGGCGGGGGACCGGTGTGGCGGGGAGTGCTGTGCGCGCCTGCGGCGAATTCCACCAGCAACGCAACTTTTGTCACTTCGCTGTGAGTGCCCTGTGCTGTGAGGTGTGTAAAAGTTTCCTTTCCTCAACGGCACTCCCACCTTGTGATTCACTGCCTGGGGGGCAGCGATCAACCCTTGTCTTGTGGGGAGTGCAGCGGAGGAACGGCGTATGGTGGTGGGGTGTGCTGTGCTCGCCTCAAAAACCGACTCGTCACACGTGTGCTGTGCTCACCTGCACCAGGTCCCTGCCAGCAACCTAACTGTCGTCACTTCGCTGTGAGTGCCGCTGTGCTGTGACGATGTTACTTTCGAGAATTCTCAAAAGTAACATCAGCATCGCTGTGCTGTGAGGTGCGTGAAAGCTTCCTTCCCGGCTCGTGCTCCTGCTTCACTGCCTGAGGATGCAGCGACCCTTACCTCGCCTGCGCCAGAGCCTGCCAGCAACTTGACCATCGTCACTCCGCTGTGACTGGCGCTGTGCTGTGAGGTGGTGGATGAAAGCACCCTTCCCAGCTCGTGCTTTAGAGCCTGCCAGCAACTCTACTGCCGTCACTTCGCTGTGACTGGCGCTGTGCTTGACTGCTATTCTGCTGTGAGTGCCGCTGTGCTGTGAGGTGCATGCAAACACCCTTCCTGGATCATGCTTCGCTGCCTGGGGGAACAGCGCGCGATGAGCAGCAGGGAAATGGCGTGGCCATGAGTGTGTGTTCATTTTTTAGGCGCTTTTTTAGGCGCCTCAAAAACCACCTCATCGCACGAGCAACAGGGGAATGGCGTGGCCATGAGTGTGTGCTCATTTTTTAGGCGGTTTTTGAGGCGGTTTTTGAGGCGGTTTTTTAGGCGGTTTTTGAAGCGCCTCAAAAATGGCATGGCCATGAGTGTGTGTCACTTAAGTCAGCGGCTGTTACCGCTGAAACTGTTACCGCTGAAACAGTTACCACTGCAGCTGTGCTACTGGGATGTGACTGTTACAGCTGTTACCTCCCCCTCTCGCCTGCGCTATACCATCTCTTCCCTCCAAATCTTCCCCTCAATCCACCCCTCTCTCCCTCTTCCCCCAGCAATCTGCAGCTCCTCCTGTTCTCCTTGTCACCATTCCCATCCTCTATTCCCTCCCTCCCTCTTCAGCAGATCGGGCATACAAGAGAGCCTGATTTCAGACGACACCCTTCCGTTTTCCCCTACCCCTTGCCTCCCTCCTCCCTCCCAGAATTCTGCAGCAAGTAGGGATTCGAGGCACCCTGTGACCAGAAGTCTTCCCAACCCCTCTCAACCCTTCCCAATTCCTCTCTCCTCTCCCGTTTCCCCAGAATTTTGCAGCAAGTGGATCTTTTAGGCACGCTTCCTGCTTCCCTGTTCAACCTCACTACCCTGCAACTGCTGTAAGCATTCTCCTCGGCATGAGCATGGTAAATCGATGTAAGCATCCTCAATACAAGCTGTCTTACTTCCAGTTTCCAGATACGAAGAAGAATTCACCATCCCATAGCCATGTAGCCATAGCCATGTAGCCATAGCCATGTAGCCATAGCCATGTAGCCTTGCCCTTCTGGAACACCGAATGACTCCGTCATGCAATACCCTGTAATACATTCCCTCTCCTCCTCTTTCAAAACACTCTTTCCTCTTCCCCACCTCCCAACCCCCACTTATTCCCCCACCCCCCGCCCCTCTTTCAGTGACCTTTCATTGAACAAGAAACTCTCGGGCTCTCTCCCATCAACCATCGGCCAGCTAACCAGCCTCACAAGACTGTTAGTCCCCCTCTTCCTGCCTTTGCCCCCTCACTTCCTCATTTTAAGAGAGACGCATTCCCTCTGCCTCTGTGGTAGTACCTACTTTGTTCGAATCGAATGTGCGCGCCATGCGAGAATCATGACGAGTTCCACAAGCACTGGGTCTCTGGATTAGCAAACACGAGTAGACACGAGCAACGCGGGTCAGGGTGTTTTTGAGAATTCTCAAAATCACCCTGCAACAACGAGGTACCTCAAGCACTGGGTCTCTGGACTAGCAAACACGAGTATAGATGAGCAACGGGTTAGGTCGACCCGACCCGAAATAATTTTGCTCGGCCTGAACCGGGTACGGGTTCAGGGTTTAAGGTTTCGAGCAGTCATGAGCAACAGGTCAGGGCGAGCGACCCGAAATAGATATGCTCTACCTGAGCCGGGTATGGTTGCAAGTTTCCAGGTTCAAATTTGAGGCGCATCGGGCAGGGTACAGACGGTTTTTTAGAATTCTCAAAAACCGCATCGGGCAGGGTACGGACGGGCATTTCCCTGTTCACTCCCGTCAGCACTGGCTGCACAGGCTAGCCTCATATGGTTCGATGCCGATAACAAGCAGTTCGCCAGTAGCAATGCAATTGCAGCCAAGCCAACTATTTCTTGATAGGCCCGTTTCTTTCACATTGTCCCACTGTGCTGCCAAGGCGACTTCTGAATCGACTCAAAAGTCACAACAGCAACCAACCAATTTTTGGAAGGCCCAATCATTTCACATTGTCCCTCTGTGATGCCCCCTCCCCTTACCTCCCTAGCAGGGCTCTCTCTGAGTGCAGCTTCACGGATTCACTCCCAACAACACTGGCGGCACTGACTGGCCTTTTATCGTTTGATGCCTACAGCAAGCAGCTCTCACAACCCCTCCCTTTCACGTTCCTCTGCTGCGCCCTTTCCTCACCTCCCTAGCAGGGCCCTCTCTGGGTGTAGCTTAGTTTTGAGGCGCCTCAAAACTAGAACTCTGCTGTGCCCTTTCCTCGCTTCCCTAGCAGGGCCCTCTCTGGGTGTAGCTTCACGGATTCGCTCCCGACAACACTGGCGGCACTGACCGGCCTTGAGATGCTCGATCTCAACACCAACAATCTCACGGGACGCATTCCCACAGAGGTGAGTCCATGCCTTTTGAGGCGCCTCAAGGGTCTTTTGAAGCACCTCTGAAGTCAACACTGGCAGCACTGACCGGCCTGCAGATGCTCAATCTCAATGCCAACAATTTCACGGGACCCATTCCCTTGGAGGGGAGTTGATTTTTGAGTTGCCTGATACTCTGAGTCGCCTGAAACTCTGAGTCGCCTCCGAATCCGGGTCGCCTCAACCTCCGAGTTGCAAACCAACCAGCAACAAACCAAGCAGCTCTCAGGGCATGTGCCCACTGAGGTGGGTCCATGCGTGCACATGAGTTGCTGTGTGTGTGAGTCGAGTCAGACCAGCTCTCAGTCACTAGCAACCAGCAAGTGCCATATTCACGCAATGCAACTCTGTTCGCCTTCCCATCACTCTTCTCTTCCCATCACCCTTCATATCACCCTTCATATCACCCTTCATATCACCCTTCATATCACCCTTCATATCACCCTTCCCATCACCCTTCATATCACCCTTCATATCACCCTTCATATCACCCTTCCCATCACCCTTCCCATCACCCGTTTCATTGCCCTTACACCCGCAGATAAGCTCTCTCGTGAACCTCAGCTACTTTGACGTCACCAGCAACAAGCTGGAAGGACTAGTGCCCGCCTTCGGCCCCATGGTGGAACATCTGTGAGTGACGCTCGTTCATTGTGCCTCTAGAGTCAACTCAAAAGTCACCTGTGAGGGACGCTTGTTCTTCATACCTCTGATTTTGAGACGTCTCGAACAATGTGACACAGTTCCTCAGTGTGCGATGAGACTATTTCTGAGTCGACTCAAACATCGCCTTCGGCCCCAAAGTGGATGATCTGTGATGTGAGTGACGCTTGTCCTTCATATATCCTCCATGTTCCTCAGTGTTCCTCACTGCCTCTTGCTGCACCTCGCTGCACCTCACTGCACCTTCTTCCCCCCCACTCCCTGCCTCTCCTCCAACCACAGGTAACAACTGCGTCACATCTCACGCCTGCCCTGGTGTTTCTCCTTTTCACAGACCCCTTCTCAGCCACCTTCTCCCCCGCCCCCCTGCCTGCCCCGCTATCCCTCCTCCAACCACAGGCATCTGAGTAACAACAAGTTCAGCAGTCTCTCTTCTACCATTGGCTCGCTTAAGAGACTCATTCATCTGTACGTTAAGAGTTACATCAATCTGTGTAGCAAAATTGTAAAAGCACGTGTACATACATACATCCGTCTGTTCGCTTATAGAACTCATTCTTTTTTACCCGTCCCTCCCCGTATCCGTGGTTGGACACTGTGCTCTGATGTTTTGATTAAAAAAATATGAAACAAAACTATTGCAAAATGCTCGACAATACAATAATAAACAATAATACAAAATGCTTGAAACGAGGGTGCACATTCAGATTGCATGTTTCGGGCAAAAATACAGCCAGGTTTACGAAAATGAATTTGCGACAGCTTCTTAGTGCTGGCAATGAAAAAGTGTGCAACAGCCTCTTAGTGCTGGCAAAGTTATTGGGCAAGTGATA